GACAGCAGGTGGTATGGCTTCCAGGTTATGTTAGTTTTGAGGGACAATGCTTATTCCAACCATGTTGGACACTAGTGAGATTCCAGATGCCAGATTACCAGTCTCTCTGCATTGCCTCCCTTCCCTGGTCACTGTAGTAAATGCTAAAGCATTCGGAGCTGGCGGTAGACTGCCAGCATTTTATAAAATCAAGATTTTAAGCCAGCACCATTTAACTCATGTCTGTAAGTCTGACACATTCAGGAGGTCTTCAAGTTCGAGGCTCGTCTGGGCTCTAGGAGACATTGCCTCAGCAAAACCAAACATTAGCTCATAGGGCCTCTACTCAGTAGAACTCTCTGACATTTGACTATTCTTCACCTTTCTTTTCTCAAGAAATTTGAGGTGTCTAAGTTACAGTGTATTGTCAAAAAGCTGGGCTGCTAGAAAGAAGGCACTCAAAAAGTTATTGAAAGAAGTGTCATTTGGAGTGAAAGGTAGGGGACTTTTGATGAGGAAATGATAGGGAAGAATCCTTCCGGTGGAGGGGAAGGGGACTAGTGTCCTGCAGTGGAAACGGGAAGCACCCTGGGTGGGGGAGGGGAGAGGAAGGAGAACATGTGATAGGGTTCTGACCTGGTGCAACACTGGATTTCTTGGGGATTTTTCTTTTAAGATAGATGTTGGATAGATCAGTATCCAGAACAGTAGTGGAATTGGAATATTTGGGGGGTGGGCAGGGCTCACACCTCAGTGTTTTTGAGAAACTGCTAGCATTAGGTGAAGTGTAGGCAGACTTTAGAAGGAAAGTGTGTGTGGTGTATTTTTTATGCTTGTTTGTTTGAGACACTATCCTGCAACTACAGCTCTGGCTGGCCTGTACTTGCTATGGAGCTTAGCTGGTCTCGAACTTGTGGCATCTGTCCTCCCCAGTCTCCTCCATGCTAGAATTGCATGTGTGCAGATTAGCACAGCGATGGAATTACATATCTGTAGATTACGACAGTGCTAGAGTTACATCTGTGTGCAGATTAGCACATCTGGTAAGAAAGATAAGACGTTTTACTTTGGGTAAGGCTTTTTGTTGTTTATGATGTGTAGCTCAGGCTAGCCTCAAGCTCACTACATAGCTGAAATTGACCTTGAGTTTCTGATCTTCCTGTATCTAAACCCTGAGTGTCACCTCTCCTGACAAGGAGAAGCATGGTGTTAATGTGTACAGGAATATTGCTAATCCACCCAAATCATGATGTTTGTTCTGAGACACCAAAAACCTAGTTTGAGGATTTACTGCACAAATGAAGTAATGTAGACCTTCAGTGTGTGGCAAAAGAACACATCCTCACCAACATATACACTCACTCACATACACACACATACACTCACACACACACACACACACACACACACACACAATTCTGAATTGAGTATGGTGGCACATGCTTTTCCAGCGGTTTGCAGGGACCTAACTTGGAGCTTGAGCAGCAGTCAGCAGGCACACTCTCTCCCTCTGTCCTTCCCTTCCTCTCTCAGGGCTCATACACACAGGCAAACCCTGTACCACTGAGCCATATATCCAGGCTTTTATTCTGTTTTGTATTTTGAGAGGTGATTATCATCTGTAGTTACCCAGGTTGGCTTTGGACTCACTCTTGGGACTCACTCCAATCCCAACTCGGTATTACTGGCCTCTGCCACTAGGTCAGGCTGTCACCTTTCTTAAGATAAGCCATTCATGAATTTCCTCCTGACTCTTAAGTTCTCTTTGTCTATAAATACATTGTAAACATCGTTGGCTTTCTCAGGTAAATGTTACCAAGTTGAAATGACTGGAATCTGACTGCTTTCAGTATATTCCTTCTCTGCTCTACAAAAGGAGTATCTTTTCTTACCGAGTAAAATTTAGGAATATTTTAACTTGAGCAAAGGTGTTTACATTAGTTTAGTCAGCTATTAACTGACAGGATTAATCAATAGGTTGCTGCTTTTCCCAGATTTTATTTCTTTCAACTCAAAGACTCTAAGGCCTTTCATAGAACAGTGCCTGGAAACTCACCTTAATGCATTTGTATATCATGACACAAATATGTGCAACTAGGAATACTGTTTATTATGATATATGAGGTAGTGACCATGCTTGTTGGGCTTATGACAACTTGACACACAAACTCGAGTTTTCTGAAAGGAGGGAACCTTAATTTAGAAAATGCCTCCATAAGATCTAGCTGTAGGGCATTTTCTTAGTGATTGGTGGGAGAGGGCCCAGCCCATTGTGGGCGGTACCATCCTTGGGTTCTATAAGAAATCAGGCTGAGCGAGCATGGGAAGCTGTCCAGTAAGCAGCACCCTCCATGGCCTCTGCTTCAGCCCCTGCCTCCAGGTTCCTGTCCTGCTTGAGTAAACCTTTCTTCACCAGCTTGCTTTTTGCTCATGGTGTTTTGTCACAGCAACAGAAACTCTAAGACAGTGATGGAATGAGAAAAGGAAAAAAATATATATTTGCATGTCTTGACTCCTGAAGTGTATGTGTTTTTTCTTTTATTTGTTTGAAATCAGAAAAACTACAGGGAGGATCAGGGATAAAAACAATCTTGAGAGATGTCGCCACCTAGTGGAATAAATAGCGTAGTCCCCTTTTGTCTATGTTCCTATGGGTATTGCATGCTATACTGAGCTGTATCTCCAGGCCCCTCTTTTTTTTTTTTTTTTTTTTTTTTTCATTTTATGACAAGATGTCCCAGGCTAGACTTGAACTCACGGTGTATGAACCAGCAGGACTTTTGAATTCAGAATTCGGCTTCAGCTTCGTAAGAGACTGAGATTACAGCCCAAGGCACTGAATCTAGCCCAAGGCTTGAATCAACTCTGCCCCAGAATCAAATGGAATTAGGCTCCGAGGATAAGTCAGGTCAAGCACAGGAGGAGGGTGGGAAGGTGCGAGAGCCTGACTGAGCTGTCCATACACACACACACATCTTAGCATGGGCCCTCGTCAAGATCAGGGTTCTGACACTTTCACTGAATCAGATGACAGAGACCTCTGGTGTTGCAAAGTGCACCTTAGGAGACCTCGGAGGATCTGGATGAGGCTGTGTGCTAACTTCATTTCCCCCTTGTAGTTAAAAGGACATTTTACTAATGTTCCAGCGTGCAAGTGCGTTCCTTGGATTTAATGGCTCCTGGCATAGGCCTCTCCAGCCGACAGCTTTCTTGTAGTTATCGAATGAAGTGTGGTAAATTGAGACCAGTGAATTGGCTGATGCTGTTAGTTAGCTGTTAGTTAACCCAGAGCTGCCAAGAGTGGTAGATAGACTTTCCAAAATAAATCCCCAAAGTTTGTTATGGAGTCACTAGTATTCTCATAAGGATCCTAATGAGGAACACCTGCACATTCGAGCCTTGAGCTGATGGTGGCTCAGACAGTTTGATGTCTGAAAAGCTGCTTTTTGAGATAGGATCCTTCTATGTGACCCAGGTTGGCCCCAACCTGTAGAGGGCACAGAGGTCTTTGTGCTCATGGATAGGCACTAGGGGAGCCAGGAATGTTAAACACATGGGCTTGTCTCTTCAAAGAAAAGAGATGTATAACCTGTTTTCCTCCAAGAAGGCTGAGAATGGATGTAGTTAATAGCCTGGTGACCTTTGTGCTACCTGTATGACCAAGACCACAGCAGATCCTCTCCAGACCCTTAAGATGCCACATGTAGTCAATCTACAGAACCCATCATTATGGAAGAGACCACATATACTTTACAAAGAGTTTTGATGTAGTCAAGCCTTAAGCTTTATTGGTAAATGGGTTGGAGTTAATCATCACCAGGAAACTCTTTCCAAATTGTGCTATACTTACCTGAAATAACGTGCACAGTGTCAGACTCTTGAAGTTTGAACCCACACCTCCCCACACCAAAGTAAACCCTAATCCTCCTGCCTCAGCTTCCTCTGGGAATATCCATGTTCACTCACCATGGCTGGTATAGTTTGTAGTTTGCTTTTTTTTTTTTTCTGTGATAAAATATGACCAAAAGCAAAGTGGCCAAATAAGAAAAGGCTTATTTGGTGTTCACATCCTGGTTCAAGTCCGAATTGAGGGTGCTAGCATTCTGTCTAAACTCTACCCCACCATTACCTGGCAACAGTCAGGTATGCTTCTCTCCACAGTTACCTGGCAACAGCCAGGTAGGCCTGGCCCACTATAAAAAGGGGCTACTTGCCCCCTCCTCTCTCTTGCATTCTTGCCTCTTGCCTCTCTCTTGCCCTCTTGGGCTCTTCCCCCTCCTACCCCAACCTCCTCTTGGTCATGGCCCACCTCTACTTCTCTATTCTCTCCCTGTCTCGGCCTCCACTACCCTCTTAACTCCCCTCCCCATGCCCTGAATAAACTCTATTGTATACTATACCATTGTGTGGCTGATCCCTCGGGAAGAGATGCCTCAGCTGAACCATCCCCTTCCCCATGACTCACTCACACCCACAGAACATCTTCTCTTTCTCTTTCTCTATGTATAGACACATCAGAGGGGAGGCGGAAGAGAGCTCTGGGCAGGAAATGAAACAGAAGCCCCAGAGAGCATTGCTGGGCACTGTTACGCTCCCTCTGCATAGGGTTTGGCCTGCCTCCATAACAACGTAGGACATCTGCCCGGGGGCTACTACCCACTGTGTGCTGGGCCCTCTCACATACTTCAGTAAGCATGAAAATGCCCCCCTCCACGAGCTCACAGGCCAACCTGATGAAGGCAGTTCCTCAACGGAGACTCCCTCAGCTAACACTGGGCTGTGCCCAGTTAACAGCTGACTCTAACTAGGAGAGCCAGCTTGAACGTTTTAAAGAACTTTGTCTATACCAAGTTACCATCTCTGCCTACTTTACAAGGAAACAAATGGTTTATATTTATTACCTTATATTTATTTTAATTTCTTGTCTCTGTCTGGCTTTTGCATTCTTTTTCTCTCTAGATGTTCAGTGTCCATTAAAACGTGGTGATGCCCTAAAATGAACACTAATTTTGTCTTCACAGATACAGGCTAGTCCCACAGGTTTATTTTCCTGAGCAAATTCATGATGTCATCCGTGCCACTAAATACTTCCTGCAGCCAGAAGTCTTAGACAAGTACAAGGTCGACCCTGGAAGAGTCGGCATTTCTGGAGACAGTGCTGGTGGGAATCTGGCTGCCGCCCTTGGACAGCAGGTAACAACAGCGCTACCTCAGGGTCCTTATGATAGGCGGGTGGGGTGAGCATGCGCAGGTGACGCCCACGTTCTTCACTGGTCTGGTACTGTTTGACTTGGACAGTGGAATATCTTGGCTTAAATTTCAGTTCTTATGACTATTTTCTTAGAGTTTTAAGAGAAATTAAAATACTAAGCCATTTTTCCAAAGTTGCATTTATTATTTTTTTGTTTTGTTTTTTGTTTGTTTGTTTGAGGTAGGGTATCATGTAGCCCTGGTTAGTCTTAAATTCTTTGTGTAATTTAGATAACTTTGTACTTCTGGTCCTCCTGCCTCTGCCTCTCAAGGTTTAAGATTACTGGCCTGTACTACCACACTCCCACTCTCTATTACTTCTTGTTTTTGTGTTTTGTTTTGAAACGAGGTCTTAGAGTGTAGTTCAAGCTAACCTAAAAGTTCTGATCCTATTGGCTTAGCCATCTAGAGTGCTGGGATTGAAGGTACCTACCACCATGCCTGGCTCACAGGCCTCAAAGACAGGATTTTGGCTTCAGCTTGGAGAGCTGTAAGTCCATGGCTAAGTCCCTTCGTTCTGTGAGCCTTGGAAATGTGAAGATAATGTCATCCAGCTCCAGGACTGTTACAGGGATGCAAGGAGACTGTATGCACACGGTTGTTACATACGTCTTACCATGAGATGGACTTTTAAAAGTGACAGTTTTTCAGTTACGGTGAAAGACGCCACCTTCTGTTTTGATGCAGCATCCACAGGTAGAATTTTAAATGCTTGTATACAGTCACCCTGTGGAGTCACGGGTAAGCTGAGGATGCTGGCATGGAAGTCATTTCCCTTCCACTTAAAGCTTACTCCGGGAAGTGTTCACTGCTTGCTTGTCCCAGCACAGAGGCTTAGGTCCCAGCTTGTCACTAAGTACCTGTAATCTCTGGAGTCCCACCATCCCTGCGTTCACTGTTCCTATCCTTCCCTAGAAGAGGAATATTTGTGATTTTTTTTCCAATCCTAGAAGCCATTGCCACTTGACATCTTATAGGGAATAAAAAATTAAATGTGGCCCACACTTTACTCAGAGGTAATATGCAACAAGGCATGTAAGTACAAAAGAATAGAGCCCAGTAGAGTGTTAATGGGGCTTTAGAGACATCAGAGGTCACATAACATGAATTGATTAGAATCTAGGAGTCACAAACAGTAACCATTCCTGAGGGATTGTCCAGCAGCTTGGGGTGCTTTAATTCTGGGGGGTTGGAGGGGGCAGTGTTCGTTTATTTAAAGCATTCTGTAAAAGGATCCACGCAAAATGAAATAATGTGTTTCTTCTATTCTAGTTTACCTACGTTGCCAGCCTGAAGAATAAGCTCAAACTACAGGCTCTGATCTACCCGGTCCTGCAGGCTTTGGACTTCAACACACCCTCTTACCAGCAGAGCATGAACGCCCCCATCCTGCCGCGGCACGTCATGGTTAGATACTGGGTAGACTACTTCAAGGGCAACTACGAATTTGTAGAGGCAATGATTGTGAACAATCACACTTCACTTGATGTAGAAAGGGCTGCAGCCCTCAGGGCCCGTCTCGACTGGACATCCCTGTTGCCCTCATCCATCAAAAAGAACTACAAGCCTGTCATGCAGACCACAGGTGACGCCAGGATCATCACGGAGCTCCCTCAGCTGCTGGATGCTGCTGCTTCTCCGCTCATCGCCGAGCAGGAAGTGCTTCAGGCTCTTCCGAAGACCTACATCCTCACGTGCGAGCACGACGTCCTGCGTGATGATGGGATCATGTACGCCAAGCGCTTGGAGAGCGCGGGTGTGAACGTGACCTTGGATCACTTTGAGGACGGCTTCCATGGCTGTATGATTTTCACAAGCTGGCCGACCAACTTTTCCGTGGGAATCCGGACTAGGAATAGTTACATCAAATGGCTGGATCAAAACCTGTGATGGAGGAAACTCCTCAGACGCACGAAGTTCTTGACTCTGTTTGCTTTGGAAAAAACCATGCTTTTCAGACATCATCTTTTCCTCGTTTTGCATTAGTGCTGAAATCTGTACCCTACAGACCTTATAATAATTTATAAAGTGACTCTGACTAACTTGGTTAAAGACATCTGAACTTGGTTTCCCAAATGAATCGTTTTTTGCTGTTCTTTTTTGAAGCCCAAGTGCTAGGTAAGAATGGCCACAGTTTGAGGAGCTAGAAATAGCCTCTATTGTGTTCTTTCCAGCTCTAGGTGAGGTAGTAAATTCTGAAGAACAAAAACAATTACAACAACACAACCATGAGCTTTTCTTCAGATTGCTCAGGTTGATGTGGGCTGCAGGGCAGAGTCTAGTGGACACTCTGAGGGCAGCCCCTGGAACTGCGTAGCCTCTGCCTCCCAGGATGGTTGTGTTTCCTGTGGGAATTTTGACGGGATTTCTAGCAAGACAGATTCTTTCTCAAAAGCTTTGCTTCCTCAGGAGTATTAATTTTCTGAGCTGGATGCTGTAAATTCAATGAGGCTAAAGGGATATTTGAAAGTTACTTTCTAAAAAAAAAAAAAAAAAAAAGAAAGAAAGAAAGAAAGAAAGAAAGAAAGAAAGAAAGAAAAAGTTACTTTCTACTGCTATTAAGAAAGCATGAGGCTACATGGACTGGCTGTTTCCTTGGGAAAATATTTTGGGAACAAACTTATTTAACTGTAGAGTAAGTTTTCTATTATGAAATAAGTAAAGGTAGAAAAATAACAGCCTGTTGTTACTTAAGAATACTGTTGGCATAAGTTACTTAAAGTGGTGTGTATATATTTGGGATAGTAAGAAAATATGTTTAATAATAGCTTAAAATGATGAGAAATGCCTACAGAAAGCTTTGCCCATTTTTGGCAGAAGGCCTAGTACATTGAAACCTCAACCTTTTCACTCGTAGCTAAAAATGGGACTATTTTGGTATAGCAGTTGTTTATTTTTTAAGTTATTTAATGTTAATATATATAGCTAAACAGGATTTTTCTGTAAAAACATTAAAAAATTTAAGATAAAAGATATTTTAAAAAGAAAACTACCATAAAGTTATATCCACATGTAATTTTGTGAGAAAATACATAAATATAGCAGTACCACATGTAAGTAAGGATCAAATACTTTGATATTTATCTGCATATGCAAATTAAAAATAATTAGAAACTTTTTACCTAGTAAGTCATGTTGTACTAGGTACACGATGCTGGTTGGTCATCCTTAACCCAAATCTGACCTATTTATTCCAAAATCCAGAATTTTGAGTCAGGTCTTAAGATACAAGTGGAAAATTTCAGCGGACATTTAATTTGTATATAAAATTATTAATGTTTAATTTGTATATAAAGTTATTAAACATATTGTGTTGAAGCTACCCTCAGGCCATGTAGATCAGATGTATAAAAAGCACAAATGAATGTCTCAATTAGATTTGGGTTCCATTTGCAAGATATTTTATTATGTATATTCAAATATTCTAATGTCTAGAAAAATTAAAACCCTGATACTCTGGTTCCCAGCTCTTCAGTTGAAGGATAGCGAACCTGTAGTTTAAACAGCTTAGGTAAGACTCATCTGCACATCGCTGCCCACAATGGCCAGGGGAACCCTCAGGGAATCCTCTGGGTGAAGGGCAGATGCTAACACTGCCTGTTCCTCTTAGTTCTCTTTCCATTCCTGTCCTGAAATTTTAACTGCCGAGCCTTACCTTCATAGAAGGTCTTCACTGCCAGTGTGGGCATCTTGGGCATATTAAGGGATTCCAGATTACATATGAGTTGAGCACCCTGCCCTTTTTCCTATCACCCCAGCTTCTGCCGATAATCCATGCTACATTAAGGGACTGTTCAGAGGACATTCAGCCAAGTCATGATCCAGTTCGTCATGAAGAGAGAGCTTTCCACTCTATGAAGGGTGCTGGTTTCTGGTTTCCAGCAACAAGATAACAAGTGAAAATTTGCACAGTGACTTTTCATTTATCGTAAAAGCTACTAGCACGTTTATGTATAAAACTAATGTAACTCTGTGTGTGTGCGTGTGCGTGTGCGTTGTATGCATATGAAATGACTGCACAGGCTACTTTGCTGATGTATGCTGTCTGCATATAGAAGTATTTGCATAGGCTACCTTGCTGATGTACCCATGTCACTGGTCTCCCTTTTATCTAAAATCTGAGAGTAGAATAACCTGATCTTTGAGGCCTCTTCCAATATTAGTCTTTCCTAAGGTAATTTTTAGTAGGTCATAATTCGATATACACTAACGTATTCATCTCTGAAGACTGATTTTGCTTATAATTTTTTTTTTAAATTGGCCACATAGCATTAATACCTCCACAGGGTTGCAGTTGTTCACATTTACGACGTAAGTTGATGCCCATCTTCAGCTGAGGTTGTTATGGGGGTCAGGGATCAATCATAGAATGTTTTTTAAACCTGATATTTTCGTTCCTATTTGAGTGATGGACATCTTTTCAAGGTGCTGGGTGTGAAACCCTGGGCCTTACATGCTTGGCAAGTGCTTTACCCTCGAGCTACACCTGAAGCTCCATCCCTGGTCCCTTCTGCACCATTTGAGGGTGTGAATTATATTTTGACTTTATCTACCTCTGAGAAAGAGGAAAATGTAATTATTCACAGAGTCTCTCAAAATGGCATTTCTCTTCCCAAACTAAGCCAAATTCTGCAGAAATCATGGAAAGTAAATGGTGGCAGATTTCTGAAGAGGCCTCAAAGATGCAAAGAAAATATAGGGGACAAAGGGGCCACCCATGGCATCTGATGACATACTTGAGTGTTCTTGTTCTTTGGGGTTTTATTCTTACAGATATGTTATGCTCTACAGCCTGATCTCTTCAGTCCAAGACAGTTTGGCTTCACTTTCCTGTGTTATGAAAAGGTCACACTTTGGAATACTGAAGGAGAGTCTTGAGGTGCTTCGGAGTGTAGCAAACGCCTGTTTTCACGTTCATTTATGAGGACTCAGACTTACGGAATGATGCCGAATAGAATGTTTTGTGCATGACCTTTTAACCTTTGACTTTTGCCAATTCCTCACTGCAACAGGGGGAAGGCAGTTTTATGAAGAGTTTTAGGAATAAATACATTTTATAGAATGCAAATCCAGTATGGTACTGGGGAAGTTTATTTATGCTTGCAATCTTGTTTGGAAATAAAATGGTTCCATCTGGAAGCATGCCTCCGACTCTCCCCTTGCCTGCACTGTCTGGTTCCAACTGGAACTACTGACCCCTTCCTTTCTTTGTATCCAGGTCATAACCCCAAATTATCTTCGCCTAGACTAACTGTAACTGTCATTTCATCACAGAGGGGTTGTTCTGTGACCTTCAAGATGACACTACTTTCCCCTGTCCAAGTGAAGCCTTTTGTGGACAAGCTATAGAGTCCCATATCTGTCCTCAGTGCTGATACTAGAAAAGATGAGTGTGGACTTGAACCATCTCAGCCAGAGAAGTAGCAGTAATGAAAACAAGTTCTAAAGCTGGCTGTGTGAATGTATTCTGGTTAGTTCATACCAATATTGTCTTAGTCACTGTTCTGTTGCTGGGAAGAGCCATGGCCAAGGCAACTGTTACAAGACAAAGTAGCTGGGGACTTGCTTACAGTCTCAGAGGTTTAGTCCACTTTCAGCATGATACACTCCACTCTCGGGCCCCTTAGGCTTGTAGCCATATCATACTGTGAAAATGCATTCAGTCCACCTTCAGAGGTTCCCATAGCCTTTCAGCCTAAACACAGTTTCAAAGCCCAAACTCTTCTCTGAACTCGTGGCAATCTCTTAACTGAAACCCCCTATAAAATCAAAATCAAAAAGCACATCACATGCTTCCAACATAAGACACAGTGTTGAAGGAGATATTTTAAATCAGCCACTGGTCAAGCTGACTAAGCTGTGGCAGCTCTGCCTAGCTCAGCCGCCATGTTCCGTGGCCGCAGCTAGAAACAGCCAGGCAGAAACACCAGCCCTGCCACCTACGAGACGCCAGTGTAGGAGATGGCTCTGCAAGGCTAGGCATTGCCCAGACCATTCCACCATCCATGCGGGCCCAGTAATAAAATGAGACTCTAATGCTTAAAGATTAATCAAAGGCTTTATATGTTTGGTAGTGCTCAATAACAATATGCCCATACAATTAGAGGTGTTTCCCAATTAGCTAACCTAAATATAAGTTGTTACTCACGACTGCTCTCCATACCTGTGTGGCTCTCCATCGCTCCTACATCTCTGCCCTCCCTAGCTCCTCCTCTTCCTTTTCCTCTTCCTCTTCTTACTCCTCCCACCTTAGCTCCTCCTACAGCACAGGATATACATTACCATTCCAAAAGGGAGGGAAGGCAGCATAGTGAGGAAATACTGGACCAAAGTAAGACTGAGAACCAGCTGAGCCAAATTCCGTATTCATGTCTGATGTCAAAACACTCTTCAGACCTCCAACTCCTTTCAGCCTTGTTGACAACAGCACATTTCTCTTGTGCTCGTTCCATATCTTGTTTACAGCTTTCCTTGGCAGGTGTCCTATGGCTTTGGCATCTCCATCATCTTGAAGTTTCCAGTAAAATCCAGGCTTCACCTTCATACTTCACACATGGCCTCTCTGGACCTCCATGCAGAGATACCTCTGACATATGCCTGGCCTCAGCTGCTGTCTTTAGGTGGAGAGGGAGATTCCATAACCTCTGTGGTGGTTTGTATATGCTCATCCCAGGGAGTGGTACTATTTTGAGGTGTGGCCCTGTTGTAGTAGGTGTGTCACTATGGGTGTGGGTTTTAAGACCCTCATCCTAGCTGCCTGAAAGTAAGTATTCTGCTAGCAGCCTTCAGATGAAAATGTAGAATTCTCAGCTCAGCCTGCACCACACCTGCCTAGATGCTGCCATGTTCCAGCCTTGATGATACTGGACTGAACCTCTGAACCTGTAAGCCAGCCCTAATTAAATGTTGTCCTTTATAAAAAACAATACTGATTTGTGTATTTAAAACAGATCAGTCTTTTCCTCTTCACAATGTTAGGGTCAGTCTCAGGCCTCATGTATCCTCAGCATGAGCTTTATCCCAGGCCCTTGGGACACTAACCTATGGCCTATGAGTGAGCTGACAACGTTCCTTGGAAAGACAGAGCATGAGGGATATAACTGCAACCTTCCACCACACAAGGTTCGGACACACACTCGGCTGCTATGCCGGGCTAGCCTGAGTCTCATAGAACAGCAATGCTCAGTTAATATCTCTCCTGCCTTCGCTTGTTTTACTCAGCCCTGCTGCTTTAACTGTTACCATTTACCCACATCTAAATTTTTAAAGTTTTCTGTAATTTTTTATTTTTATTTTTTGTGATGAGCATGGTGGCACACATTTTTAATCCAGCACTCAGCAGGCAGAGGTAGGTGGATCTCTGAATTCAAGGCCAGCATGGTCTATGCAGCAAGTTCCAGACCAACCAGGACTACATAGTGTGATGAGAGCCTGTCTCAAAACAAAACGTGGGTCTCAAGTATTGAACTGAGGTCGTCAAGTTTGGCAACAGGTGAATATACCCAATGGTCCAGCTTGCTGCTTCCTCCCTTTTAAAAGCTAATTTCTTAATAGGTATTTATATATCCTAGGCTGCTCTCAAACTCATCAAGTAGCTGAGTGTCAGGTGCGATGTAGTTGCGAGATGACTGATGCTGGTCCTTGTCAGCTGAGGGTCACTCTGAACTGCTAATCGTCCTGTCTCTGCTGGGATTACAGCTGGGTTCCATTTTCCCCAACATTGTTTGCATTGTTAAGGTTTAAACTTTCGGGACTTTTCTCCTCTTCCTCTTCCTCTTCCTCTTCCTCTCCCCCCTCCCCTTACCCCCTCCCCCTCCCCCTCCCCCTCCCTCTTCTTCTTCTTCTTCTTTTTTTGAGACAGAGTTTCACATAACCTAATCTGGCCGCAAACTCCCTGCAAAGCTGAAGATCAGGTTGAACTTGTAGTTCTCCCGCTCTACGTCTCCAGTGTTGGGTTACAATTGTGCACCGTCACCTCAAGTTTATGTAGTTTCGTGCATGCTAGGCACGCTCAACAAATTTAACCCAGTCCCTTCTCTCCCTTCTTGTTGTGTAAGACAGGGTTTCACTTTGTGTCCCATACTAAATCAAACGCACTGTGTGCTAGCTCAGGCTAGCCTGGAACTCCCTGTAAGCCTCCTGTCTGAGCCTCCTAGGTGCTGCCGTTAAGGTATGTCATTCTTGGTTTATGGGACTTATTTATTTATTTTTTTGCAGATGTTTTCTTTCTACCAAGTGCTTTAAATCTTATTTTGTGAAAACAAAACAAAACACTGAAGTCCACAATAGATGCATAAAAATAAAAATAAAATGTCTCCAGCAAGTGCCAGCAGAGGGCGCCCATGAAAGTCTGTGAAGCTAGCCACCTCACGCATATACTATTTTCCTTAAAATTGAAAAACATTTCCGAGTAGTTTTCTTTTATTTACAAAAGATGAACAAGAAGCGGTGTCATATTTTGTCACAGAATAAATTAAATTATGTATGGTTTGGCAGTAGAGGAAAAATTTTGAATTCTCCTGACTACCTGAAAGAAAATGAGTTTTCCAAACAAACCAACCAGGACTCATGCTGATCCCTTGTTACATCATGATGACTCATCCCTCTGCCCACCAAAGGGGTTCAGCTTGTTAAATTTTATATTTTTTTCATGGCTTTATTCAAGATAGATATATTTGCTATCCACTTAGGGGAAAATAGTTTTCTGTGTTTTGAAGGCCTTTTCATTGTATCGGGAGACTACAGGACCTTTCTGGCTTTGATGTGTTGTTGGAACACCCCATACACTGCACCGCGTTTCCTCAGATGTGAAGGAACCACCTCAGAAAATATCAAGTGAGGAGAGGCTGCGTGGTCGCCCAAAGTCAAAACACCAGGTCGGTTTCAGCAAAGCTCAGCAGGGATATCTGTGGGATAGCCACATTAAACAAACAAACAAACAGGTATAGTATGTTCCAGGATTAAGGAGAAAATCTTGACCCTTGGCTCACACAGAACAGAGGACATGGCAGGAACTAAAATGTGAGGAGCAGGTTTTAGTTCTAGTTCTGCAGGCCGAAGGTCAGTCTGGAGCAATAGCCATAGACTTACTGGACCTTGCTGCATCTGCAATTATGGACCCAGAGCTATGCAGTGCTGTGTGCCACCATGTGAGTACTGAAAACCACACCAGATCCTCAGGAAGAGCAGCCAGTGCTCTCTCAACCAGTAAGTCATCTACGTACACACACCCACACATACACACGTACACATAGACAGACACACATGACACACACAGACACACAGATACAGACACACACACAACACACACACACACACACACACACACACACACAAGCCAGTATTTCTTAAACGTCACCCTGCATTTGGGAGTCAGTCCAACATCTAGTTGGGATGCAGATTCCTGTTCAGAAGGATGAAGTAGTCTAGAGATTTTCTTCTCTAGAAAGGTAAGCCTGGTGCTGAGCATCAGAAACCTTCATAGCACATTCTCACACATGCATACAACTGATGTTGGGGAGAGAGTGGCAAAAGATATGAAGTAATTTTCGGAGAGACTGCCAGTGACTTGTTAATGTTTTTGCAGTGAAAGAGGAGTCAATTGTATTTTTTATATATATAGAAAAGCAAAAATACATCTCAGAATGGATTTGAGGCAAATTGTGCCATAGCCTATTTTCTCTGAATGTCTAAGCAAAGTTTAAAACACAACCAACAATAAAAGAAAATGTTTCTGGTATAAGACCAGCATGCCAAAAAATAGGTCAGGGATGTGGCTCAGAGGTAGCTTATCTAACATACATAAAGCCTGAGTTTGTTGGATCCCCAGAACCTCATGGGCCAAGTATGATAATGCACACCTCTAATCCAAGTGCTTGGGGGAGTGTAGGTAGGCGGATCAGAAGTTCAAGGTCATCCTCGGCTGTACAATGAGTTCAAGGCCAGCCTTGCCTACGTGAGAGCCTTTCTCGGAAACAAATAAGTTAGTAGTGTATTTTTAGTTACTGTTTTTGTCCATCTGATCCAAGATAATGGACATAGATATTGTACTAGAACTACACTTATTATTTTTGCTAAGTGCTATTGACATTGACGAGCAATTGCTCCTGATGGAAGAGAGGTGGTTTACCTGTGTGAAA